TGTCTGCTGCCTGGGGTCCAGAGAGGGAGGACCCTGAGGTGGAGGGTGAGGGAATTTTGTAGAAGTTTGTAAATAAAGCTCAGTGCTCTGCAGCTCAAGTCCTCCGTGTGCTGGATCTGTCCTGCTAACGCCCTTGGGTCCCAGAAGGCACTCTGGCCTCTCAGCCTGCCCTCCTGGCACTTGTGGGAGGAAGAAATTTTGACCACTGGGGCTGGGCAGTGTGCGTCTGTCACCATAAAGGTGGCTCCTTCTGCAGATCCCCAGCTCTGGGTAATGGCCTCCACCAGATGGTCCCCAAGACAGGCTCAAGGTTACTAAAAAGTCATTTCAGCGAGGGCCTCCGCTGAAGCTGTGGGTCATGTTCAGTGACTGAGCTCTCCTTCCTGGTCCCAGAACCGGGATCCACTGATAGAGGGGCTCTCTAGAAGTCCCTGAGGTCGTGTGGCTCCTCCACTCCCATCTCTAGTTCAGCCCTGGGAGCCATGGGGCATTCAGGGGCATTCAGAATCCCAGCAGGGACAGATGAGGAAACTGAGGGCTGGACAGTGATTCGGAGGCAAGGTCAGCAGACAGCCCAGATGTCCAGTCCAGGATGAGTAGGCAGTGCCCTGTCTTTCACTGACCTCTTGTATGTGCTGGTTGCATAATATGAAATTCCTGTTTTTATAAATGGAAAAATGTGGAAATGAGGCATGAGCTTTCTCTAAGGTTTCTCGGCTTAGAGATGGAACTGGGCTATGCTGCCCTGGGGCTTTTTCCTAGAGTTTATGAAGCTATAAAAACCTTTCCCTCTCTCTGGAGAAACAAAGTCTCTAGGAGTCCCTACTTTCAGTTCTTTTGGGTGTATACCCAGCAGTGGAATTGCAGGATCAGAAGGTAATTTTATGGTATTTTATGTTTGAGACAGGATCTCACTTTGTCACCCAGGCTGGAGTGCAGTGGCACCATCTTGGCTCAGTGCAGTGGCACCATCTTGGCTCACTGCAGCCTTGACCTCTTAAGCTCATGTGATTCTCTTGCCTCAGCCCCCCAGATAGCTGGGACTAGAGGTACGTGCCTCCATGCCTGGCTAATTTTTTTTGTATTTTTTGTGTAGAAGGGGTTTCACTGTGTTGCCCAGGCTGGTGTGGAACTCCTGAGCTCAAGCAATCCACCCGTCTTAGCCTCCTAAAGTGCTGGGATGACAGGTGTGACCTACCACCCCGGCCAATAATTCTATTTTTAATTTCTTGAGGAGTTGCTATATTGTTTTACTTTCCTACCAGGGATGCACGGGGGTTCCAGTTTTTCCTCATCCTCAACAACATTTGCGATTTTCTGGGTTTTCCATAGTAGCCATCCTTTTTTTTTTTTTTTTTTTAAAGGACGGGGTTTCACCATGTTGGTCAGGCTGGTCTTGAACTCCCGACCTCAGGTGATCCACCCACCTTGGCCTCCAAAGTGCTTGGATTACAGGCGTGAGCCCCCATGCCCAGCCATAGTAGCTATCCTAATGGATGTGAAGTGTATCTCATTGTGTTTTTTATTTACATTTTCCTAAGGATTAGTGAAGTCGAGTGTCTTTTTTTTTTTTTTTTAGAGACAAAATTTTGCTCTTGTTGCACAGGCTGGAAACAATGGCACGATCTCGGCTCACTGCAACCGCTACCTCTGGGTTCAAGCGATTCTCCTGCCTCAGCCTCCCGAGTAGCTGAGATTACAGGCATGCATCACCATGCCCAGCTAATTTTGTATATTTTAGTAGAGATGGGGTTTCTCCATGTTGGTCAGGCTGGTCATGAACTCCCAATTTCAGGGGATCCTCCCACCTTGGCATACGAAAGTGCTGGGATTACAGGTGTGAGCCACCATGACCTGCCTAAGTAGAGCATCTTATTATTTATTTATTTATTTATTTTTAATTTTTTATTATTACTTTTTTTTGAGACAGAGTTTTGCTCTTGTTGCCCAGGCTGGAGTACAATGGCTTGATGTCAGCCCACCGCAACCTCTGCCTTCTAGGTTCAAGTAATTCTCCTGCCTCAGCCTCCCAAGTAGCTGAGATCACAGGCATGTGCCACCATGCCCAGCTAACTTTTTGTATTTTTAGTAGAGATGGGGTTTCTCCATGTTGGTCAGGCTGGTCTCGAACTGACCTCATGATCCACCCACCTTGGCCTCCCAGAGTGCTGGGATTACAGGCATGAGCCACTGCGCCCAGCCTAATTATTTTTAAAAATTATACTTTAAGTTCTGGGGTACATGTGCAGAATGTGCAGGTTCGTTACACAGATATACATGTGCTGTGGTGGCTTGCTGCATCCATCACCCTGTCATCTACATTAGGTATTTCTCCTAATGCTATTCCTCCCCTATCCCCCCACCCCCTGCTATCCCTCCCCTAGCCCCCCGGCCCCCGACAGGCTCTGGTGTGTGATGTTCCCCTCCCTGTGTCTGATGTCCCCCTCCCTGTGTCTGATGTTCCCCTCCCTGTGTCCGTGTGTTTTTTAATGTGCTTATTGGTTATTCGTTATATTTTTAAAAATTATTAATAGTCTTTTATTAAACTTTTAAGTTCAGTAGTACATCTTTATTTATTTTTAATAGAGACAGGGTCTTGCTATGTTGTCCAGGCTTCGGGCTGTTCCCACCTGAGCCTCCCAAAACGTTGGGATTACAGGCGCAAGCCACTGTACCTGGCCTGTTTGTGTACCTTCTGTGGAGAAGTCAAGTTCTCTGTCCCATATTTTAGTTGGTTCTGCTTTGTTGTTGTTCCATGTATAATTTTAAGTCAGAGAACCTGTAGGAGTCAGTGGTTTCTTTAGAAATTCTTTAGCCAGAGGGAGAAGAAAATCCAGAAGCCTATTCTGTCAAACAAAAGTTACAAACTTAGACCGGGTTCGGTGGCTCACATCTGTAATCCCAGCACTTTGGGAGGCTGAGGCGGAGGATCACTTGAGGTCAGGAGTTCTTGACCAGCCTGGCCAACATGGCAAAACCTTGTCTCTACTAAAAATACAAAAAGCTGGGCATGGTGATGCCTGCCTGTAATCCCAGCTACTCAGGAGGCTGAGGCAGGAGAATGGCTTGAACCCGGGAGGCGGGGGTTGCAGCGAGCTGGGATTGTGCCACTGCCCTCTGGTCTGGGCAACAGAGCGAGACTCCATCACAAAAAAAAAAAAAAATTAAAAAAAGTTAGGTGCTCTGGCTCACACCTGTAATCTCAGCACTTTGGGAGGCTGGGGTGGGTGGATCATTTGAGGTCAGGAGTTTGAGACCAGCCTGACCAACATGGAGAAACTCTGTCTCTACTAAAAATACAAAATTAGCCAGGTGTGGTGGTGCATGCCTGTAATCCCAGCTACTTGGGAGGCTGAGGCAGGAGCATCACTGGAACCCAGGAGGTGGAGATTGCAGCAAGCTGAGATCGCACCATTGCACTGCAGCCTGGGTGACAAGAGTGAAACTGTTTAAAAAAAAAAAATAATTATTATTTTAAAAAAGCTTTTCTTAGAGCTCAATAATAAAAAGACAACTCAATTATAATATGGGAAAGGATCTGAAAAGAAAATATACAAACAGACAATAAGCATATGAAAATATGCTCAACATCATTAGACATGAGAGAAATACAAAACCACAATGAAGGACCACTTCATACCCACTTGGATGGCTATAATGGGTAAAAACAAAACAAAACAGATAATAACAGTGTTGGTGAAGATGTGGAGAAACTGCAATCCTCATACACCAGGAATGAAAGTATTAACATGGTGCAGCTGGTTTAAAAAACAGTCTGGCAATTTCTCAAAATTAAACACAGACATAATATATGATCCAATAATTTCACTCCTAGGTATACACTCAAGAGAAATAAAAGCATATGGCCACACAAAAACTTATACACAAATGTTCATAGCAGCATTATTCATATTAGCCCAAAAATGGAAATAACTAAAATATTCATCAACAGAGAAGTGAATAAATAAAATGTTGTGTATTCATATAATAGTATTTGACAATAAAAAGGAATGAATGAACCTTGAAAACATAATGTTAACTGAAAAAAGCCAGTTTCCAAAGAATAGATGGTATGATTTTCTTGATATGAATTATCCAGAATAGGTAAATCCATAGAGACACAAAATACATTAGTAGTGCCAGGGGCTGGAGGGAAGAGCAAATGGGATTTCTTTTTTGGGTAGTTAAAGATGTTCTAGATAGATAATGGTGATAGTGGCATAGCTGAATATACTAAAACCACTGAATTTTATCATTTAAAAGGGTAAATTGTATGATATGTAAATTATAGTTCAATAAAGCAGTTCAAAATGGAAAAGAAACCAATGTTATCTATAACCTTCCTACCTTCCTGCTAAATCAGACACTTTAGTTTGAATCTATAGTAATTTTTTCCTGCCTCTCTACCCTCCAACCTCCTGTTTTATAAAATCAGAATTTCAGCTTCAAATTATTATTACTATTTTAAAATGTTTTATCCTCCTAAATGGCACTCCTTTCTCTCTACCCATGAATTGAACTTTTTGTTTCCATCTCCAAAATGCATCTCTTTTCTCAGGTCTCAGTTTGAAGGGCCCTGTATACAGTAAGTTCTCACTTAATGTAATAGGTTCTTAGAAACTGCAACTTCAAGAGAAACTACATGTAATGAAACCAATTTTACCACTGGCTAATTGATATAAACAAGAGTTAAGTTCCTACAACATATTTCTGGTCAAGAAAACATCACTAAACTTCTAAGTAAAGACCCAAAACACTGCTATTAAACACTGCAATAAATGTGAGCTATACACATACATTTAAGAAAGATTAATAAAATTAATTATTTGCCCAACTCTTGGTGAATCAGTGAGTAAGGGCGATCATAGTGATGGTGGGATAAATCAAGAAATGAATGCTTGCCATGTTGTTAAGAAACACCTATCGTTACATAGTCCAAAACTCAACCATCACAAATATGGCAGCTCTCTGAGAACTTTCCTACAGCACTGCTTACTTTTTTGTCATGTCAGAGTCTTGTCTACTTTACACATTTTTATTTTACAATAGTTTGTATTCATCCCTCCAATTGTTCATTTTCTAACCTGCTTATTCCAGTTCAGGGTTGTGGTTGGCCAGAGTCCATTCTGGCAGCTCAGGGCTCAAGGCAGGAGCCCACTCCGGACAGGACGCCTTTCCCATCGTAGAGCAGAACATTGACATTCACACCCACACAAACTCCAACTGGGACCATGCAGACACACCAATGAACTTCAAGTGCACAGCTTTGGGATGTGGGAAGAAACCAGAATACCTGGAGAAAACCCACAAAGACACGGAGAGAGCATGCAAACTCCACACAGCAGTGGCCCCAGCAGGGAATCAATTTTTTTCTAATCAATGTTATAATGAACATTATTTGAGGACCTGCTGTTTGTCATTTCCTAGGTTTGGAATCCTCCCCCAGTTGGCTAGGTTTTACTTCTTTTCACCTTTTTAGGAAAGTCCTCCCTGACTCCCTCTCCTCCAGGCCAGAGGTGGTGTACCCTCTTTGTGTTCCCCTGTACCCCGGGCTCACTCCTACATAATATCCGTTTCTCATTTGTCTCTCACACTAAACGTAAGATTACTGAAGGCAGGTACTTTATCCTTTAGTTATAAGCACCTTGCCCTGTGCCTAGGTGCTTAATAGACTGAGAAAGTCTGTCTATACCTCATGATAACCTACTAACTTTGACAGTAACGTATTTTGCCTCTCAGATAGAATTTGTGTGCGGGGGCGGGGGGGCGGTGTATGGGCACCGGACACCACTGTGGTTCACTTTTATGAACCAGTAGAACACATTTTGAGATATTTCCAGGATTTGCCATCATCCCGAATGAAGCTCTTGGATTTAGGATTAGGTATTGACGCAAATGTAAAACTTGAATCCAAGAGTCTAGCATTTTCTGAGTTAGTAGTTAGTTCTGATTATCAAAATCTTTTGTGTTTTATAAAAGAAGGCACTTGAAAATAACATATGAGACATATTCTATAAAGTTCCACTAGGATTTTAAAATCTAGTTTAAGTTTTTGTATTTTTTATATTTAAAATTAAAAAAATTAAATACCCTTTTTTCATTTTCTCATTTGATAAATAAACTTTTCTCTTCAGAATTGTATATATGGTAGGCTTCTGCCCCAGTGTGGCCATCTGTGTGCTGAGTACTTCGGAATTCTGTAAAAACAAAATATAATTTCATTTTTTACTCTTTTCATAGCTATTCTGATATTACAGCATGTATATTGAATTTGTTATTTTAGTTAAGACATCGTTTACATTTGTAAATTTACCACATGCTCAAGATTCAGCTTTGTTCTTTCTACCTTATAGCTTCCTTCCCATGCGAATTTTGTGAATTATAAATAAGTCATAATACAGTTTCCAACTCATCAAAAACTCTACACATAATCAGAATCCTGAATGAACTGAAACTATGGGGATGATTAAATAAATAATGCTAGTTTTAATCTCAATGAAATACATAGTAGAGTTTCTAAAACTAATCTGTTAGAATTCTTACTACATGAGTTTACCTTCAAAATGACATACTCTTTCAAGGCAGGTTTCAAATGATATCTGGGGGACTTTTAAGAAAAATGCTCTTAGGAATCAGATGGATCTGAAAAGCTCCCCTATGAAATTTCTAGAATTAAAAAACCAGATGATGAGGGCTAGTCTAGAATTCCATAGCTTCTTTCTGTCCTAATCCTCTAATACTGACTTTGTTTAATTTTCTAAAAACATGGCATCCATCCACAAAGGAACCTTAAAGGTTGTTATCATGAGTGTCAGAAGGGGCAGCTATGGGGACTATGGAATTATCTGATAGTAGAACCTATTTTGAGAAGTAGGAATAATGGTCAGGGAAGGCCTTTATGAAGAATATTCATTTGATAATTTTTTTTTTTTT